AAATTTTCCCATAAATGCAATTGCAGAGATTTTCGATTAAAGGGTTTGATAATTTATGTATTTTAGCTGAAAAATGAAGTACAAGAGTTAAAAATGCCTTCAACTAATCTGAAACATCAAAATATACAGCAAAATCATGTTATTGCATTTTTTCTATATGTATATTACTTTAAGATATATTTTAATAAGTATCCTTAACTGATGGTGCACAAGTGACATGCAGCTTTAATAACTCACATAGTCTACAGGATTTAAACCCAATTAACCCTCAAGGGAAAGCTTGAAACTCTAGGCTCATGGGTAATGGAGGGTAATCAGGTTTATTTCAAGGATAAGGGCAATTTTAACCTTGGTTCAAGAGCTCTTTACTAGCATCAAGACACCCTAAAGCCTTGATGTATATAGTGCAGGAGGCCCCATTTATACAGCACATTAAGTTCTGGGCTACTACTGTAAAGCAAAAATAAGCATATAAAAGCCACATAACATGTTTATACTACATACTATGACATTAAGTGAGCAATAGAGCTAGGCCTAAAAAATGCACATACAGTGGCCACAAAAAAATTCTATACATTAACAATTTTTGGACAATAAAACTAAAAAATGCAACTTAATGTATGCACATGTTTTTTATTTTATTTTTAGCATTCAACTAGTACTTAGTTATGTTACCAATGTTCTTTATCACCATCTGAAGTCGCCTGGGCATTGAAGTGGAGAGGGTGGAGAAGAGGGAGACGTCTATGTTGATCCAAAGCTTCTTCAGTGCCTCCTTCAGGCCCATGATGTTGGTGGGTCGAGCTTTTGCAATTTCATTTTTCATCACATGCCAGGCATTCTCTATAGGATTTAGGTCAGGGGAATTGCCTGGCCACCCCAAAACACTGATATTATTGTCCTCGAGGAACTTTTTCACTCCTTTTGACTTGTGGGCAGGAGCACCATCATGAATAAAAAAATCACTCTTGTGAATGTTCCAAAATGTCAGCATGTGGTCCCTTAACACTTCTATATAATTACTTCCCTTCATCGTAATGTTCTTAGGAAGAAAGTATAGTCCACCTCTGCCCTTATAATCACTAAAAGCACCCCAGACCATAACACTCAGCGTGCTTCACTGTCTTCACAGAATACCAAGGGTCATAACGGGACACCACTGGGATGATGCACGGTCCTGACGAGCCTGAAGGTATTCTCATTGCTCAACATCACCTTCTGCCACTGGTCTGAGGTCCAATCCTTGTACGTCTTGCAGAACTGAAGCCATTTCGTCATGGTTTCAATTAGCATGGGCTTCTTGGTGGCACATCGAGCAGGCATTTTCAAGTCCTTTTGCAGTCGGTGCTGAATGGTTCACACTACGTCTTTCAGAAGTGCAGGATGCTTTTCTTGAGGTCTGCGGCTGTTATGGCAGGATCTGATAACACTTTTCTCTTCAGGATCTTGTCTGTGTGAAAAGAAGTCTTTTTTGGGGCCCCAGACCCCACCTTCCTAGGTGGTACGGTACCAGGTGGGAGTGAGGCACCTGCTTTCTTCAGGTTGTAAATTGTCATCCTGGTCACCTTCAGGTCTGCAGCTACGGATATCATAGACATGCCTTACTCTAATAGGGTGAGTGCACGAGTCTTCTCTACAACTGAAAGTTCAGTTTGACCCATTCTGACCACTTGGAGCAGAGATATAGCGTGGCAAAGTGCATGGTCGAGTGAAAAAATGGGCAACGAGTAACAACGTAGCAATCCCCCTTACTCATCGACTCTGGAAGAGCAGTAAAGCATGGGGAACGCTTGAGCAAGACAAGCTCCAGTACACTCAGCCGTCACAAGCTCTGCCCACTTTTCTTATGGCATTAATCCAAGTGAAATGTATACACCAATATCTAGTGTATAATTTTTTTTTTTGCATTGGAAACGTATATTTTTTTGCAGCCACTGTAGAACATACATTACTTGCCTTAAAATATTTTCACACTTAGCTTGTAGCGAGTGGTGAACATATTTATTGTCAGTAGCCTGAATAAATGAAGAATGGGTATAAGTGAAAATGAAGAATGGGCATAACTGAAAATCACTTAAGCTAAGCGCTGTAAAACGGAACCCTCCTGTACACAAAAGTTGGGATAAACTCAGCACTGAAATTTAAAAGAAATACACAGCAGGTTACAGCAGTCTCACCACTATCAGAGTTGCAGCACAGAGGAGCATTACAGACTGCATTGGAGCCAATCAGGTAGTCTGGGTCAAAATGGGGGTCAGTTAAATGCAACACCTTCAGCACTCTTTTACCACCTCCATTGCCATTACTACTGCTGCTGCTTTGTGTGACAGGTTGAGAGGCAATCTGCTGTTGATGGCCATGTTTCTGAGATTGATATGGAGACTTTTCTGATGAATCTGCAGCAATTTGCACCTGTAATGAATATGGCAGGTAATTTCTATACCATACACTACATTTTTTGAGATAATTTTTTATTGAAATTAGTAGTGGCATTGTGCAACTACCAAATCTATAAAAAATAAATTTTTCCAATTTTAAAAGTCTGAGCAAACTCCCCCCATCTAGTTCTCACTAATCCTACTGAAGTTCCTTTGATAATAAATTCACTGAAAAACAAGTCAGGAAACTCAGCACAAGAACTGCCACTATTGTTCAAAAGAGAAGCTCATGTTCTTTCACCCACCATTGTAATATTGCTCAACAAATCATTAGAAACCAACACATTCCTGATAATACTTAGGATAGCAAGGGTTACCCCCAATACATGAAGACCCAACTGACGTAAATAACTATAGACCCATATCTAACTTGCCACTGTTATCCAAAATCTTTGAAAAATTAATCCACAAGATATTATACACTCTTAGTGTCACACAATATACTCAACCCTTGCCACTTTGGTTTCAGATCAAATAAAAGCACAAAAAAATGCAATTATAAAAATGCTAGACTTTATGCAGCTCTTGAGTTTAATGAATGTCCACTAGGAGGTGCCTCTTTATAGAACTTAGGAAAGCATTTAATACAGCAGACTACAACATCCTGCACCTTACACTTCAACATTATGGTATCAGAGAGCATGTGCTTGCATATCTAAAGTCCATCAATATGTTTATCAAGGGAATAACCTCGTGTTTGTAACCCTTTGACATGGTGTGCCCCAAGGCAGTATTCTCGACCTCCTGCTTTTCCATGCGTGTATCAATGATCTTCCAAATGCATCTCAACTTAAGACCTTTTCTGTCTGCAGACAACTTTCGTCATCTCCCACCCACGTCAGAATTCTCCCAATAACACTGGTAATGAGAATCTTATAAAGGTATCTACCTGGATGACTATCAATAAACTCACTGTCAACATTGACAAGACCTACATGATGTTTGGGAACAAGAGCTACAAATGTCCAACTGTATGTTATAATCAACAGGTCTTTTCCCCACTGCAAAACAAAATGAAAGAAAATTCTTAGGTCTGTTCTTTGACAGCAACTTTAAATTCAATACCCACATTCAGCACATCCAATCCAGGAAGAGAGCTTACTTAATCAGCTGGTATCCTCTCCTAAGATATGTTACTATGTACACACCTCAAAATATACTATGTACTTACATTATACTACTCTAATCCATCCATACCTCACCTATGCTATTTGTGCCTGGGGATCTACTACAGCAAAACACCCAAAGCTAACAATAGTTCAACAAAAAGCAGCTGTACGAATGATCACCCAGTCTAGGGCCAGGCTACACACTTCCCCATTCTTCGGAAGTCTAAAACTTACTTAATATACATGTACATAAAATTCACTCTTACTACTGTGCATACTACATATACAGGACAAAATTCTTATATCAATCTAGCCCTGAAACTTTCCTGATAACTGCAACAAAACTCAGGCATAATACTAAGACAAAAATCTGATATTCCACATGTCCATCTTAACCTTAATATTAATAATTTTTATTTGTACATAATACATAGTTGTACAAGGAATTATAGTAGTTGGGTGTACATGCCAAAAGCTCCTTGTATGCAGAGCATTATGGCAGGCTTAAAATTAACTCAAAAGTGTATAAAAAGACCTAAAATCTCGAACTTCATAATGCCTTATCCAATTTATCTCAAGATTTGAAGTTTATAACAGAATCGAGTTCTAGTTTCTGGGCCTTGTGATAGTAGAGCTACAGCTCTTGAATTTAATATGATTAGTGGTTCGTATTCTGAGTTTATATTTCAGCTTCAGAGCTTTATACATTTACTTTGAATTACCCTATGACACTACCTCTAGCTCATGGACCACTGAAATATTTTCACAGTGCAATGTACAATGTCAAACTTTTGTTTTACATGGCTGAGTTCCTTCTCCTAGACCTCTTTACAGAGTGCCAAGATCTACATCAAGGTTCATTTCAGGCCTGAAGTAATCAGAGACGAGATGCCTCCCTGCCATATTACCAAAATAAATTAGTTCAAATCACAGAAGTCTAAATGTGACCACAAGAAAGTTGCATCACTTTGAAAAACTTGTGCCTGCGATTTGCAGCTCAGGAAAATTTTTGAACGAATTCAACTTTTCAGGGACTGTACAAAAAACCATTCACCAAATACTTTTACATTTGCTTTTTGAAGTTGAGCCAAGCCATTAACTACCTAGCAATACCTGTGCAGGCGAGGTGTTAACAGCACGGGAATAGCCATCTCTGTTGGACGACTGACTGTGACGGTGAGTGTGGGACTCTGATAACAGTGGTGGTGGGATAGCAACATTCCAGGGAGGACGCCTGAAAACTCCACATCCTTGGCTACCAAGAGTTAGTGAACACACTTCGTCTGCATCAGCATTGGTGTTCCTTAGTATAAACTCAAGACGGTCCTGAAATACATAAAGTGCATAAAAATCAATACATATAATGTACATTTATGGGAAAGCCTTAACAATCATAGGGTCATACAACACCTGAATAGTCTTATTTTAATTAGGAAAAAAGCACTGAATCAGTAAGGGGTCATATAGCATCTAGTGAATGGGAAGCAGTCACGTTCTATCCATGGAAGAAGTCTAATTCCTTGGATCAAGAGCACATCATGCCTAAATGTTCTCTTGATCCAAGGAACTGGACTTCCCTTAAGGGTAATGACAATCAGCATTGATCAAAATGTGAGTGGCTCCAAATGTATTACTGATAAGCCAGAATCAAGCACACGCCCCTATACCCACCCTCTGGGCAGTAATCAAAAGATTACAGAGGTACCCATTCTTCTTTCAACACACCAGCAGTATCCCATCGCAGCAGGGTGGCCCAAAAAGAAAAACGAAAATTTCTCTTTATAAATTTAGTAATGTATATAGGAGAAGGGGTTATTGCTCCTGGCATTTTAGTCGCCTCTTATGACACGATGTCTTACGAAGGAGGAATTCTGTTCCATTTCCCCATGAAGAAGGTACCCATGTACCCCTAACATTTGACTACCGCCCACAAAATGGGTACGAGGCACATATTAAAAGATATTAACTAACTACCCTTTTAAGATACTCTAACCAAAACTATCCTACAACAATTTCTCTAGGGAAGTAAGACCCAGCACCCACCTTGTCCTGGTTGATTATTCCTCGGCACACTGAGATGGACTTGTAGCCTACTATGAAGCACACCTTCACCAGAAAGTTGGCCATAACATCTATAGGTCCCCCCAAACGTGAAAAACCAATCACCATATTGGAGAGGAGGTGGCAAGACGTACAGTAAGAGCCTGCTTCTTGGAAGATCCTGTCTGGGTCATCGTCACTATCATCAGACGACCCATTTAAGGCATTTAATACCTGAAAACGTTTCTTAAACTAGACTTTTAAGGCTTGACTAGAACATCAAAGGTAAAATTAACGAAGAATGAAAACCAAAAGTATGAATAACACCAATTAAAATAATGTGTAAGTAACATTTTTAATTTTAGAGGAATGTTGGAAGAGCAGTGGAACATTTAAGGTCTACTGACCCATGCTAGGAAGGTTTAATTCACATCCAACCACATCACTGATGCACCTCTTCACGCTATATTTAAAGTTAGACCCTGACTGTCTTCAGGAAGGCGCTGGACAGACACCTAAGGTCTGTACCTGACCAGCTGGGCTGTGGTTTGTCAGTTTGCGTATGGCCAACACTAACAGCCTGGTTGATCAAGCCCTGATCCACCATGAGGCCTGGTCACAGACCGAGCCGCGGGGGCGTTGACCCCCGAAGCCCACTCCAGGTATATTGTTACTTATATTCCCTTTATATATTCTCTTTCTCCGTTTGTACACTTCACTCGTATTTCTCCCTATATTATATTTTCAGAGTGTAAATTTACTGCCTTCAGCATATATTCGTAGGAAATTTTCCCAGTACACTTATGACTAGTCAAAGATATATAAAGTTAAAGTTAAACTGTAGCCTTAGAACTATTATAAGCCAAGAATTGTCAAAATTTTTGTGAACATTTAAGCAATGTTCTCTTGGCTTTAGATTATTATTAACCAGCCTAGTCTTTTTGGATTCAGATTCAGTTTATAAGTGCCAATGTTATTTCTTTTCCCTGGGTTAGAACTACATTAATCCACATCAAACTATCTGCCGTTTCTTACCAGGTCATCCTCACGTCCTCCAGTGCCCACCTCAGAATTTATTTGATAGCCTATTTTAGTCATCAACAAACTTGCTTATATAGCCATTTATTGCCTCATCTATGTCGTTTATGTGGATTATGAACGAGGGTCCCAACACAGACTCCCATTCCTGGTTTATTGTCATTTATGCAAACTGTTGCCTCTGTTAGCCATGCCATGACCCAGGAGATAATTTCTGCTGCACTTTCTACTATTCTGCCGCTACTGTCTAAGTTTATTCAGGTATACACATATACAGTTGCATAGATTATCATACATAGCAGCATATGTGTAAAGTACCTGGGATAACCCAAAAAAGTCAGAGTGACTTATTTCCTTTGGGGTCCTTTTACCTTATTATTATAATATAATGATGATATCTTATTATTATTCTGTAAAGGAGATAACATCTTATTATCATACTATTAAGACTATCTACTACACGAGGGTCATTACTAGGAATAAGGTAAAATTACAAGCGTGTTAGCTAAAAAAAAAATAAAAATCATTCCCTTCCTTTACTGTCACTACATTCATCAGAAACATTTTGGCAGTCTTCTTGAACTGGTTCATGCTATGACTGGCTTTGACATGTACAGGCAGTCTGTTCCATTCCTTTATTGCTGTACAATAAAAGGTATTTGAAGTCTGGCCAATGACTGTGGTTACTACAAAGTTGTGTTCTCTCCCCCAAGTACTATGATTGTTCTCTCCCCCAAGTACTATGATTGTTCTCTCCCCCTAGTACTATGATTGTTCTCTCCCCCTAGTACTATGATTGTTCTCCCCCCCTAGTACTATGATTGTTCTCCCCCCTAGTACTATGATTGTTCTCCCCCCCTAGTACTATGATTGTTCTCCCCCTAGTACTATGATTGTTCTCCCCCTAGTACTATGATTGTTCTCTCCCCCTAGTACTATGATTGTTCTCTCCCCCTAGTACTATGATTGTTCTCTCCCCCTAGTACTATGATTGTTCTCTCCCCCTAGTACTATGATTGTTCTCTCCCCCTAGTACTATGATTGTTCTCTCCCCCTAGTACTATGATTGTTCTCTCCCCTAGTACTATGATTGTTCTCTCCCCCTAGTACTATGATTGTTCTCTCCCCCTAGTACTATGATTGTTCTCTCCCCCTAGTACTATGATTGTTCTCTCCCCCTAGTACTATGATTGTTTTGGTTCCCGACCTTGACAAAATTGACAACAAGATATTCTGGACACTGTGAGCAATTTTATAAACTTAATTTAGCTCCTGTGTAGAGCACTATCAAAGGCCTTACTATCTTATTCTTTGTTTTTTCCATCTACCTTCTAAAGTACCTTAGTGGGAAAAAAAGGTTAGTAAATTAACAAGACAAAAGCACCCTTTGTAAAACTGTGCCGAGATTCATTGAAAAATTATCTTCCGAGGTGCCTTCGAATTCTATCCCCTCAAGGGAGGTTCCTTGACGCTGGTGAGGGGCTCTTGATCTAGGGAATTGGATCTGTGCTCCGGTTCCCTGAATTTAGTCTGAATACCTTCCATCCCCTTCCCCCACGTACGCTATATAATCCTACGGTTTTAGCGCTCCCCCATGGTTAAAATACAATAATTCGAATTCCACCAACTTTCCCCACAACTGAAAGTGGGCAAATAGGGCTACAATTTGAAGATACAAACCTAAATCTCCCACTTTATAAATAGTATCACAGCCATTTTCCACCTATCCTGTACTACACTCTCCTGTAATTTGTTAAGAGATTAATTAATGGCTTGCTAGGTTCCTCCTTGCATGCCTTTAGAACTCTTTAAAATAGTTCAAGGTTATAATTTATCTTGTGGTCTTAGGACCCTGTCACTGGAGTTTACCTGGAGGGGGGTC